TGGCGACAACGGCTTCCTATTGGTAGAGCGTACCTGAAACGTCATATGGCCAAATTACACTCGTCCATATCCTCTCCTCATCAACGAAGGCGTGGTGCACATGAAGGCACTTCTCGCGCTCAAGCAATTCTTAGGCATCCTTTCTTGTACAAGTAGTCTAGCCCTCAGTTACTAAGGCTGTTCCACTTTCGCAGCTTCACAGTAAGTAACGAAGGCGCTGTGGCCTTCATAAGTGGCAGTTTCGACGCCTACTTAGTCGCCCCACCCACCAAACTTGAAGGCTATTCTGTCACGAAACCAGATTTTACACCGTGTTCCTCGTTTTTCTCTATTGGATAATATTGAGAAGTGGATGATGCTAATGGTAAAGCGATTAGTAAGCAGAGGCGGCACGATATCGCCTTGCTGGCATGAAACGAGTAGATCTGGGGAACTCATCCAGTGAAGCTGCCACGAGTCCTTACCTAGGCCATTGCCCGTGTTTTTTTTTGTTTTTCTTCCCTAGAGGATCGCTTGGCGACTATAGGTTTTTTTATGCAACGCCACTATTCACAATATGCGATCGCGAAGATTTTCTTCAAACACTCATGGTAATGGTACTCATACTCACTTAGTGCAGAGGACTTGAGGGATTACTTCGGAAAAGAAGATGATGAACAACGTTGGAATGACGTTGATGAGAATCAGTCGCTTTGTAACGGACATAACTAATCCACGAGTCATTAGATCGAAAGTGATTACACAAATCGTATTGCAGATTGTGTTACCTGAAATGGTAGACCTTTCTGCTAGGAAAACTTCAAGGCAACGGGTAACCCCTAATGGCACACTGCACGACAGGAGCGCAAGGGTGACAGCGTTCAAGTAGTGCTTGTTGCTTGTAGGCGCTTGTTCTTGAAGGGAAAGAGAAGTAGACCTCCGAGTATGCCCTAGATGAGGTATTCTCCTCTGCAGTTCTTTTTGAGCATTGTGTGAGCACACGGAAAAGAAATGCTGAGCATGAGAGACCAGTCGAGGAAGGATGAGGCTGTTAGTCCTTGTGAGGACATTTCGCAGTGGGCGTTTATCACCTTTAGAGACCGTGTACCATAGGTCATGAGTGCCGGTCGTCTTTGCTGCGCACTTTTAAGGGGCCAAAAAGGTAGACTTTGGCAGTTGCAGAGCCTTTCACCCTGTACCGAAGGGATTATAGCCCCATGGTAATCGCGTAACGTGCCTTTAATGGATGAGTCCTTTAAACCTGACCAAGTATAATCGTGCACAGCATGAAATTTCCGTTCTCTCTTATCGGAATAATATTCGCCGCGTAGCGTCGTGTCTTCGGATTCTCGTCGTACTCGCGAATACGCTGAAATTCGGGCTTTAGAAAAATATCTTTGCATCTACAGACTATATGGTAAGGAGTTCACTCGACGATTGCGCGCAGTGCGGTCGCTTGGTTGTTCCCCAAAAGCCGTAGCGGTCTATGAAGTGTCCTCCCTCTGGCAAACTTGGGCGCAGTGGACAGAAGTTCTACGTTACGTTATTGTGAGACCTAATGTCCCACCTGCAAGTATCCATCCTCTCCTCCCAATCGATGGAACAAGACTTCAAGGTTTCCGCAAATACAGTCGTCATCCTTGCACTTGATAGTCAATGTCAGTGCGGCTGCGTGCGGCGCGGTCGCCCGCACCCGTACTGCACCAATCGTTGAACCAGGAAGTGACATTACTGTATTATATCCTTCGTGTTACTCGTTTTCTATCACTTTTTGTCGCATACGCGTTTCAACGAAAAGGCTGAGAAGGCTTCAAACAGTGTGCACGCTCCTTCTCGCCGACACGCCCCTATCAAGTGCAAGGATGACGACTGTAATTTCTGGGGTCTTTAGTCAACAGCACCTGGTCTACGCACAAACTTGGACTTACTCCCGTTGATTGCGTCGAATTTCTGTTTTTCTCTGCGCTCTCACGTCTGCATTCTGTGACCCCTGCGACCTTACACATTCCTACTTTTTGCGCGCGAGCAGTGGCTCATTCGCACCGCTCCTCTGCCCCTGATGGAGCTCATCCTTTTGGCTCGCAACCTGTTTCTTTTGAATACCTTAGCAGCAGCAGTCCTTTATTTCTGTATGCTCTGGACTTTTCGCGCCAGGACCCCAGCAGAAGTTCCAGCTGTCACGTAACCCCGCTACAGCGCGGCTATGTCAAGTCCAGGGCACGCCATCGTGTTGTGATCATTTCCTGAAAAAAATACGAGCCCTCTCCTTATTCTATCCACAGATACGAGGGGGTTATACCCAATGTGAAAACAGGAAAATTTCTCAGATTTTCCCTAACCTCCTACCAGTTTTTCCGAAATTTCCTTCTGGTTTTTCCCCAAAATTCTGCTGTCGAGCCTCTAACCTCCTACCTGCTGTTCCGAGCGGAGGGAGGAGGTCGTCAGGAATTAACTATCATTTTCAACCATGGAAAATAGTAGTTGTATAGATCATAGATCTTAGGCAGTCCCTCTCTCAACAACGACCAAACACGACCCCCCCCTTTATAGCGTCCGTGAAACAAGGGTGAACTACCAAAAAATTTTCTCATACCAAATACGACCCCCTCCCTCGCGGTCAAATACGACCCCCTCCCCCGTTGTGATCATCACAACGATGGCGTGCCCTGGTCTTGTCTCATCTGCTTGTTTTTCCATAGGAATAACCCCGGAAAACTTGAAGTAGTTCTGCATATTTTGTGCCCACTTTAGAATTTTGAAATATTCTTGAAAATTGTTAACCTACGCGAAGATCATCAAGATCCAAGGACATTAACGCCAGATTGAGACCGGTGAAGAGAGCACTCATTAAAAGAAACCAGCAATAGATGACAATGAGTAGCGGAATGAGAGGGTCGGCTGAAAGATCAGTGTTTCGATGTGGATGACCAGAGCATAATTTGAACCTTCATGGGCAGGATATGGTACAGCACTGAGGAAAAGGCCCTCATTCCACCGCCCTCAGCAGAGGGATTGAGACGACACAGAAAAAAGCTAGCTTTCCTCAAATTCACGAAAAAGCTACACTCACTCCTATTCCCAGGCCGCTTCAAAGCGATCCACTCCCCTTCTCCAACTAACCAAATATAACCTCTCTGGGAATCCTCAGCGCATCACACACCTGGCTTCCAGCTGTCAGTCCTGGGAACGATTTTTTTACTCACATGTATCCTCAAGAATCACTGATCGAAATTCGGATGGTTGTGCCGCGGGTTTGGAGCACACAAAGATCGGGTACGTCCATTCGAGTTGAAATTCGACGCTCTGTAATGATCGTATGAAAAGTGAAACTTTGGGTGCACGGCAGGAGATCCGTTTTGCGGAAATGTTGCAAGAGCGTGCGCGGAAATTTGCGTCAAAGTCCCATTGGTTCCAGGCAAAAGTGTTACAGTATGCAAAGTCACCTCCCTGGAAATGTTACCTAGTTTCTGAGCATCACCGCAACATCGATCCATCAGCCCGCGTTCTTGGCAGACGGACAAGACTATCGTAATTGTCGCGTCGTCGCGCGCGGCGTATCGTGCAGCGATGTGAAGCAAATTCTCCATGTGTATTAATTTCCCAGCTGTCAATTCGAACAGCGGAACACGTACGAATTCAAGCGGAGACAAGACTCCACGCAGAATCAGCAACTGCTGAGCAAGCTTCGTTCGTTGAGAGCCATGGAGCCGCAGCACGCCACCAAGCCAAGCATATTACATGCTTGTCACGCATTCCCGTACCCTAACCTTGATTAAGAGAATCAATTGACGGACAAATCACACAACCACCCGCGTCTGTCGTGAGAGTCTTGCAGAGTGAGTGGCAAAGGGAAATAGGAGCAAACATCGCCTCCACCATTATCACCAGGCTCCCGCTCTCACAAATTAACTCTGTCATCGCACATTAACTCTTACCAAAGAAAGGCCTGTAAGCGCAGGAGCGCTACGCCGAACACGGTAAATCGTCGGGGATGGGCTGAAAAGTACGGTACTTCTAAAGCCCCTAAGTTGCCTTGCGTTAATAGCTCCTCCTCCCCTCCCCCCATTCAAGGCCAACAATGCCTTACAGGCCTTCAAAGACTAGCGCGTTGAGTTAGGAGGGCGGGAGCTGGACAACTTGATCAGCTGTCAAGACAAGATGAACATTTCCACCTCTGCCATCAGGGAGAAGTCAGGCAGTCGGCGAATTTCTTTCATGGTCTTAATGCTACCCCCGGGTGCCTTTCGAAACACCAAAATCCCGCTCCGCTGACTGATTTCGCCGCATAATGCAATACTTATAAGTTGACCTAGCACAGAACGTGGTCTTCTTGAGGTTGTACGCCTACAATCTATATGTTAGCTATGGAAGGGCGCATGTTACCTTTGCTAGGGAACTGACAACGAAAGTACTTGAAGTTTGTCCAATTTTCATCGCCACAGATCGGTTGTCTTTCTTCAGATCGCAGGTTGGTGACGGATGTAGCCACAACTGTAAATCAAAGCTCAATTCACAAATAAGAAAACCGTTTCGCGCTGACCACCACTCCCTCCGAGTAACGCCCTCTATTTCATGAGTGAACTGTCGTAGGTGACGGCGTTCCTTACTTATAGACACAGCCCACTTCGGGCGCATGGGCGGAGACAGCTAATCCTTCCTAATCGTGGCCTCTCCCCTCATTAGAAAAGGCACGTCAAGGAGGGATCATGGTCCACCGTCTCCGCCCACCTTACCAGTGTGGATTGTGGCTTTGAATGGGCCGTGCCCTTCAATGTTAGAACTTCACCTCAGATAAGCCTTGTAGTCCCTCTCCAAGAACAACCAGCTCGTCATCTTGGCTTCTTATGGTGGGAAGTTCAAATGACCTGAAAGGAGGCTTCTTATTTTGCATTAACTTTGGACCAATATTGTTGTGTAAGCTTTTTGACTGGTCCACATTTTGGAGCGTGAAGTAGGTGGGGCACGATCCCTAAGTCTGCGTTCATACTTTGCTGCGGCATCTACCAACGACCACCTTCGTCCACCATCGACCAAGAGTAGAGAGTATGGGGAAGTAGGAGGGTAGCAGACTGCTGGATAGAGTATAGGGAAGTAGAGGGAGAGACAGCTGGATCAGGCGTCGTGAAATGTGAAGCGTGCAACCATACCGTACTACTCCACAA